CACGTGAAGCCAAAATTGCATGTAACCCCATAACATCCCTCTATGCTCTGAAGCCAAGTGAAAATGAAAGGACAAAGGTACAAAGAACCAGGAGTCATGGAGCAAAGGTTATGGCAATGAACTCCAAGGAAAAGGCTGTCAACATAAGCTGTGTCTACTGTGAGAAAGCAGGCCACAGTCTGCAGAAATGTTTTAAATTTATGAATGAGAACATTGGGGAAAGACTGAAGTTTGCACAAGAGAAGAAGCTATGCTTTGGCTGTTTGAAGTTAGGCCATCGCTCCAAGGATTGTGACAACAGAGAAACTTGTGACACATGCAAGAAAAAAACATCCAACATGTCTTCATGACACTCGCACTAAGGAAGAAAGAACTCAGATAAAGGGCAATCAAGCAAAGAGCAGTGATAAGACAAAACAAAGGAAACCAGATTCAACTCCACAAGACACCAATGTCACACAAACAGCAACTGAAGCAACTTCTAACAGAGTGATGCAGAACACCAAGGATACTCACACATCCTCTATCGTTCCAGTATGGGTTTCAGCTGAAAGTGAGCCAGAGTGTGAAGTTCTAGTGTACGCACTCCTTGATACACAGAGTGACACAACCTTCATCTTACAAGAAACTGCAAGAGCTCTGCACACTGTAAGTGAACCAGTTCAGTTAAAGCTTACTACGATGTCATCAAGAAACACTGTCGTTACCTGTCAGAAGCTCTCTGGCTTACAAGTAAGAGGATTTTACTCAAATAAGATAATTCCTTTGCCAGTAACATACGCGAGAGACTTCATTCCAGCAAATCGAGATCACATTCCAACACCAGGAACTGCTAAGGCATGGCCCCATCTTGAACATATTGCAGATGAAATCGCTCCTCTCCAAAGTTGTGATGTTGGTCTTTTGATTGGCTACAACTGCCCTCAAGCACTTGTTCCGCGTCAAGTCGTGTCTGGCAAGGAACATCAGCCATTTGGACAAAGAACTGATCTGGGCTGGAGTATCGTGGGTTTTGGCAATCCGTGTCTTGATTATGGAGATGTCTTCGGAGTAAGCCACCAGGTCATCGTGAAGCAAGTGGTCCCAGATGTTCAGCCATCCTCAAGGTTCACCAGTCAAGTGCATTACGTGTGCAGAACTCAAATAAAAGAAATTGTCTCACCTGCTGACGTAATCAAAATGCTGGAGTCTGATTTCGTGGAAAGAGCTGCAGAAGATGTTAAGATCTCCCAAGAGGATCTCAGGTTCCTGACGAAGATGAAGGAAGGCATTAGGCTCAAGGAGGATGGACATTTTGAGATGCCACTTCCATTTAAAGGTGACAAGCCTAACTTACCTGACAACAAGGCATGTGCCATTCATCGGCTCAAATGCTTGGAAAGAAAGCTGAGAAGGAACAAGCAATACTACATGGATTATAATAAGTTCATGGAGGAAATCATAGCTCACGGTGATGCTGAGAAGGTGCCCGAGCAAGACATCAACAAGACCCCAGCATGGTACATCCCACACCATGGGGTGTACCACCCACAAAAACCAGGAAAGATTCGAATCGTCTTTGATGGCTCTGCGAAGTTTCAAGGAACATCCATCAATGACCATCTTTTGACCGGCCCAGAGCTTACAAACACCTTGCTCGGAGTCCTGTGTCGTTTTCGCAGAGGCCCAGTGGCTATAATGTGCGATATTGAACGTATGTTCCACCAGTTTCACGTGTGTGCTGCTGACCAAGACTACCTAAGGTTCTTATGGTGGGAGAATGGTGATCTCGACACCCCGTTCACCATCTACAGAATGAAAGTTCACCTGTTTGGTGCAGCATCTTCCCCTGGATGCGCTAACTACGGCCTTAAGCACCTGGCAACTGAAGCAGAAGGACGCTTCAGTGAGGAAACAGTTAAGTTTATGAAAACTAACTTCTATGTTGACGATGGATTAGCAAGTGTCGATACAGAAAGCCAAGCAATACAGCTCGTCAAGGAAGCATGTGAACTCTGCAGTACCGGCAATCTTCGATTACATAAGTTCATCTCAAACAGCACCAAAGTCTTAGCTTCACTTCCAAGAGAAGAATGCACAGTAGCTGCCAAAAATATGGATATGGCGTTGAGTGAAGTACACATGGAGAGAGCACTAGGTGTACAATGGTGTGTGGAATCAGACCAGTTCCAGTTCAGAGTGACTGTTAAGGAAAATCCACTCACTCGAAGAGGAGTTTTGTCCACAGTTGCCTCCGTGTTTGATCCGCTTGGATTTGTGTCACCCTTCATCTTGCTAGGGAAACAGATCCTGCAGCAGATGTGTCGAGATAAGCTTAGCTGGGATGATACCTTACCCGAAAGTCTTCGACCTCAGTGGGAATCTTGGCTGCTTGATCTGAGGAATTTAGCAAAGGTAAAGATTCAAAGATGCTACACTCCAAATAACTTCAAGGCAGAGCATTATGAACTGCACCATTTCTCCGATGCCAGTGCATCTGGATATGGCATGTGTACCTACCTTAGAGCAGTCAGCACATCTGGTGAAGTCCACTGTTCTCTGGTGATGGGAAGATCAAGAGTTCCACCATCGAAAGTCACAACCATTCCACGACTTGAGTTGTCAGCTGCTGTAGTTGCTGTCCGCACTGGTGATATGCTGAAAAAGGAACTGGAGGTTGGACTCTCACAAGAAACCTACTGGACAGATTCAAAGGTTGTCCTCGGATACATAGGAAATGAAGCCAGGAGGTTCCATGTGTTTGTTGCGAATAGAATTGAACGCATCAAACAAAGTACAGAGTCTACACAGTGGAGGTATGTGGCGTCCGAAGAGAACCCGGCAGACCATGCCTCTAGAGGTCTTACAGCTGATCAACTTATGGCCTCAAACTGGTTTAAAGGCCCAGACCTTCTCTGGCAGAAAGTCGTGTCCAGCAGCGAAATCAAGGTGGGAGAGTTATCAAGCAGTGATCCAGAAGTCAAGAAGATTCAAGTGCTCAAGACACAAGCTAAAGAACAAAGATCACTTCTGGATCGCTTGCACAAGTTCTCCGATTGGTCAAGAATGATCAAAGCCATTGCTAGACTCAAGCGCCTCGCAAAGGAAGTGAAGGAATGCAAGAAAAGGTCCTATGAAGTCAGTAATCTTGAAGAAAGAAAGGAAGCAGAGCTGACAGTTATCAGAATGGCTCAAGATACTGCCTTCTCACATGAAATAAAGTCCTTTCAAAATCACAAAGTAATCCAATCCAAAGACAAGGCCAATAAGCTACACAAGTTGAGTCCATTCCTGGACGATAAGGGCACACTTCGAGTTGGAGGACGTCTCACACATGCTACATTACACTCCAATGTCAAACATCCTGTGATCCTTCCAAGAGACAGCCATGTGTCAACGTTACTCGTTAAGCATTATCATGAGAAAACATACCATCAAGGGCGAGGGATCACCATGAACGAGCTTCGCGCAAATGGATATTGGATCCTCGGGTGCAGCAAGGTTGTATCTTCTCATATCTACAGATGTATTAAGTGCAGAAGGTTCAGGAGGTGCACGGAACAGCAGAAAATGGCAGACCTCCCAGAAGATCGGATGGAGACTACCCCACCATTCACCTACTGCGGGATGGACTGCTTTGGTCCTTTTTATGTCAAGGATGGCAGGAAGGAGCTAAAGCGCTATGGCTTGTTAATCACCTGCATGTGCTCCAGAGCAGTACACATTGAAATGCTTGATGATTTAACCACTGATGCCTTCATCAATGCATTGCGTGCATTCATTGCCATACGAGGTTCAGTTCGCCAGATAAGATGTGATCAAGGCACGAACTTTGTCGGCGCAAGAAATGAGTTTGTAGAGGCACTTAAAGAAATGGACCAAGCCAAACTGGAAAATCTGGAATGCGAGTTTCTCATGAACACCCCAGCCTCAAGTCATATGGGTGGCATCTGGGAGCGACAAATCCGCACCATAAGAAGTGTTCTGACATCAATCCTAGAACAATCAGCTAAACAACTCGACAGTTCCTCCCTAAGAACATTCCTATATGAAGTCATGGCAGTAATAAATAGTCGACCCCTGACCACAGACCAGCTATGTGACCCATCAAGCCCAGAACCTCTAACACCAAACCACATACTGACCATGAAGTCCACAATCATCTCTCCACCCCCAGGCAAATTTGTCAAGGAAGACCTTTATCTTCGGAAGAGATGGCGTCGTGTTCAACTCCTTGCCAATACCTTTTGGGCAAGATGGAAAAAGGAGTACTTGCTAAATCTTCAAAGTAGACAAAAATGGACTAAGCAACGCAGAAACGTCAAGATCAATGATATTGTGCTTTTGCAAGATGAAATAACCCCAAGAAATCAGTGGAAGTTGGCGAAAATCGTTGATGTGTACCCTAGTAA